GTTGAGCTGTATGAGTTCTTTATGTATTTTGGAAATTAGTCCCTTATCAGATGTGTCACTGGCAAATATATTCTTGCATATAGTGGATTCTCTGTTTATTTTTATGATGGTTTCTTTTGCTGTGCAGAAGTTTTTTTTTTTTATGTAGTCCTATTTGTTTATTTTTTTTCCTCTTTTTCTCTTGCCCTAGGAGATATATTGATGAAAATTCTGTTATGTAGATGTCTGAGATGTCACTGCCTATGTTTTCTTCTAGAATTTTACGGTTTTGTGACTTACGTTTAAGTTCTTTATCCATTTTGAGTTCATTCTTTTAAAAATATTTTATTGATTTCAGAGAGGGAGCAAGAGAGAGCCAGAAACATCAATGATGAGAAAGAATGTTGATCTGCTGCCCCCTGCACACACCCTCCTGGGAATCAAGCTTGCAACCTTGGCATGTGCTTTTAACAGGAACCAAACCTGGGACCCTTCAATCTGCAGGTCGATGCCCTATCCACTGAGTCAAACCAGCTAGGGCTTGATTTCATTCTTGTGTATGGTGCAAGTTGGTGATTTAGTTTCTTTATTTCTTTCTCTTTTGTTTTTTGTGTTGTTGTTTTTTTGTATGTACCTGTCCAGTTTTCCCAATACCATTTATTAAAAAGATTTTCTTTACTTCAGTGTATGCTCTTGCCTCCTTTGTCAAATATTAATTGACCATAATGATGTGGGTCAATTTCTGGGGTCACTGTTCTGTTCCATTAATCTTATGCCTGTATGTTGTTTTAATTATAATGCTTTATAGTATAGTTTGATATCTGGTATTGTGATTCCTCCAACTTTAGTATTCTTTCTGAAGATTGTTGCTGCTAATCGGGGTCTTTTTTGGTTCCATACACATTTTTGGAATAATTGTTCTAGATCTGTCAGATATCAGATACCACTAATCATCAGAGAGATGCAAATTAAAACTACAATGAGGTATCACCTCATACCAGAATGGCTACCATCAATAAATCAATAAGTAACTATTGAAAGGTGAATAAGTCCCCCAAACCTAATCTCTTGCAAGTATTTCATCCATTGCTCACTTATTTATTGACTCATTCATTCACTTAATAAGTATTTACTGAATGTCTCGCACTATGATTTTACTTCTAGAATAATAATCACTTAGGAATTCTACTCAAATGACTGACATTTTGGCAATTTTCCACATCTTACATTGTAAAAAACTCTACTTAGCCGATTCAAGTTTATATGTCCAAGGAAGACTTTGAAAAATCACCTCATAAAACAATGTTGTTTGCATTAAATAAGCCAATGCTTCTAAAGTGTTTAGTACACTTGGCAATGACATTATTATTAGTAGTATCAATACTGTTATTGTTATCATTGCCAACCAACCAGATGCTTGTAGCTGTGAAAAAAACTTCGGGAAGCTTAGGACGAGAACTCAGGATCTGCAAACGCTTCACATGCTGGCACACTTAATAGCTCTTTTGATCTTTCTAGGTTTGATAAGCTGGTCCTTTCTAACAAACCACAAAATTATGGTTGGGATCTGGGCTGTGATTCCATTCACTGTTAGTCCAATGTCCCTTTTAGATTTTTAGAAAACTAAAGGGGTTATATTCAAGTTTCTTTCCTACTTAATGCATTTCACTCCCGATGCTCATTTTACTGACTTTATTTCTATTGTATTTAAAGATCCTATTCTTCAGGGTGCTCACAACCTCTATGTAGAAATGCTGTGGAAAAGCCCAGCACTCCCGGTGGAACATCATACTCTCTAAGCCCAGGTAAAAGAGGTCTTGTGTTTACTGTTCTACAGTTTTTGAGCAAGAAGACTCCCCCTCTAATCATCACCATAGCCACAGCTGCCTGTCTGAAATCCAAGTACATCATACCTTTAAAAATGCATTCCACTATGAGTGCCTCTAGAAAATAGTTCTCATCCAGTAGTTGTCATGGCATCAGCTCAACATCTTACACAACAGCTCCTGGGGGATTCAGCTCTTTCCTCAAGGGCCTCACTTGAGACTCCTCAATGGAGTCTGTTTCCTTAAGTCTCACTTTGGTGGCAGAAAGCCAAGTTTGGGTAACAGAGGAGATCTCGGTCCACCCAGGTGCATAGTTCATTCTTAGCACAATTGCTCCAAGTTCAGAGAAAACCTTAAGAAAACTTTAAATCGTTTTAATAAAAAAGAATACTCTTCTACTGAGTTAAAAAAAAATAATAATAAAGTTGCCGAAACTGGTTTAGCTCAGTGGATAGAGCGTCGACCTGCGGACTGAAAGGTCCCAGGTTCGGTTCCAGTCAAGGGCATGTACCTTGGTTGCGAGCACATCCCCAGTAGGGGGTGTGCAAGAGGCAGCTGATGGATGATTCTCTCTCATCGATGTTTCTAACTCTCTATTCCTCTCTCTTCCTCTCTATAAAAAATCTATTAAATATCTTTTAAAATAATAATAATAATAAAGTTAATAAAACAGGTTGATTGTTTCCTTTTAACTTATTTTAAGGGGATTTTAAAAGGTAATTTCGTCTCTAGCTCATTATTGTCTCAACAAACATGCCACGAATTAGGTTTCCATTAGCCTTATTATTAGAAATCCTTTTGTCAAGGAGACTCACATAAAACGGGTCTTACCTCTCTCCTGGGAAGAACCTATGAAGATTGAAACCTGCTGCTCTTCTCCCTGCACTGCCACTCTCTCTGCGCCTCCTGCAGGATTTAAGCCTGAAGGAAATGAGAGAAAGGGGTCAATTACGGAACACAGGAGCAGCAGATTCTATTATAAATCAGGTCATATGCATGAGCTCCCAGGTGGAAATTAGGGGAAGAATTTGCACGTTCCCATTTTTTTTTTTTTTTCACAAGCTTAGCTGTTGGATGTCTACAATTATTTAGATGCTAAATATCTGCTGAGACTTCGTCTGATTAGAAGGATTTTAATGTAGTTATTGTTTGTTTGCTTTTTAAGAAATGCTAATCAGCTTGCTTTTCGAATGAAATGCCAGCACTTTTTTTAATGCCAGTACTTTTAACATAATTGCTTAAGTTCTAGATCAAATTGCTTAAGCTCTGTCGTTAATTTGTGGGGATTTCCTATTTGTAACAAATCTGATTAGATTTGATATGATAAAATATGCCTATATAAATAAAACATGCACTCACATAGAGAGAGAGACTGTCCTATAAAAATATAGCAGGGCATGCTTTCTAGAAATCTGGACAGTGTGTCTGAATGGCCTTACCTATCTCATATAAAAGGTTTACTTTGGGAGGCTATCTCAAAGAGACAGATGGCCTCCAGAGTAACATAAATTGGGGTTCAACAAAAGGTCTGAGTTATAGGCAATCAGGAGAGAAAACAAAACAAAAATGCTGAAGTTTCTACAAACAAGAAAACAAACAGTGCTTTCCAATTGGAGCCCTAAATTGAAAGTCACAAGGGCAGCCTCTGCAATCGCATGGTCTTGCTTTGCAATCAGTTGCTTCTCAAATGGGCAGCTGCATGGAATAGACATCAGGATGAATCGCAGCAGGCACTTAAAATTTTTTTTAAAATATGTTTTCATTGATTTTTATTTTCTTAACCATTAGAAAAAATGTTTTTCTTTATTGATTAAGGTATTACATATTGACCTTTTCCCCCTATTGTTCCCCCCTCCCCCTGCAACCTAACCACTCATTCATGCCCTCACCACCCTGGTGTCTGTGTCCATTGGCTAGGCTTATATGCAGGCATACAAGTCCTTTGGTTGAGTAGAGAGAAAGGAAGGGAGAGGGAGAGAGAGATAAAACATAAAAGGAAGAGAGACATCTATTGGGGACTGAGCCTGCAATCCAGGCATGTGCCCTTACAGGAATTGAACCTATGACCTCTTGGTGAATGGGATTATGCTCAACAACAGCCAGACAGCTGCAGGCATTTGAAAATTTAACAATATTACCCTGGATTGGCTCAGTGGATAGAGCGTCCGCCTTCGGACTGAAAAGTCCTGGGTTTGATTCCGGTCAAGGGCACATGCCTGGGTTGCAGTCTCAATCCCCAGTAGAGGACATGCAGAAGGCAGCTGATGGGTGATTCTCTCTCATCATTGATGTTTCTGTCTCTGTCTCCCTCTCCCTTTCTCTCTGAAATTAATAAAAATATTTTTTAATTTAATAATGTTCAACAATTCTCCCTTGAAATGATGGGAAGCCCAATTAGTAATAGGTAAATGTTTGACAGACAACAGGGACTAGGAAACCAAGATCCAAATGTGCTTTTTAGGGCAATTTTTTTCTAAGTGACCAGGAACATAATCCAGAAGCAGTGGGTAATTATCAAAGAAGTCTTGGGTACCATATAAAGCAGGCATGCAAGAAATACAATGTTAGGTGTATTATTAGTATTGTATGGATTTGAATACTACTGAATATAAAAATGAATCCAGCCCTGGTCGATTGCTCAGTGGTTAGAGCGTAGACCCTCAGGCCTAAGGGTATAATTGCATAACTCGATTAGTTATTTAGTTGACCAATTAATTCTAACATTCTACCCCATACTTTTTTCTGTGCTCCGTGTACACTTAACAAACTGCCTACTAAACATTCCCAATTCCATCTAGGGCTCAATAAATCCAACACTCATTCACTAACTCATTTCTATCTCCCACACCTGCTCCATCCCAAACGGCTCTTTTTGCATTTTCCCCCCTCAACGATGAAGAACAGCATTGTTCATCCAAGGGTCCAAACTTCTGAAATTTAATAAAGTCTCCTATCCTCCTCTCAGCTACCTCTGCCCTAAACATGAACACCTAACTGGTCACCAGATCTTTTCACTGTTACTTCCTGACTTCTCTCCTGTATCACCGCTAGAGCTCCTCTTCTCCCGTTTCCAGTCTCTTTCCTCCCACACAGTAATTCTTCCATTCTGCAGTCAGGGGTTTGACCTCTTTAATATGTGTCATGGTCTTTCCATTTACCTTTAGGATAAGGACATGAGGTACTTCATCAACTTGTCTCTCTCCCTCTAATCTTATCTTCCACCATCACTAGTTCCAGGACACAAAACTACCTGTGATCCCCAAACTTATTACCCAGTCCTTCACCTTCATGCTTTTGTTAATACACCCTAGAATAACCTTTTCTCCATTTTCTGTCTAGATAATCCCTGTTCTATTATAACATTTCCAACTCCAGCAACACTATTCCAAATTAATTTTTTTTTAAACCAGCAACTGAAGGATAGTTAACAGATGCTACAATTCCAGTACACTTTGCTCAACACAGAATGAAATTTCTTTTGTGCCTTTATTTCTGAGACACAGAATAGATTTCTTCTTAAGTCATTGTACGTTTTGCTTTCCATTGGCTGGTAATGAGATTTGGAATATAATTTCAATCAAAATGTTATAACAAGGGATATAGATGGTGAAGAAAACTTGGTGACAAAACACAAAGAAACTATGAGAGGAAGAGGCTCTCAGCTGTTTTCCTAAATCCTATTAGCCATTTCTCCATCTCCTTCTCCCGTTCCTTCCCTCTCTCCCTAGTTCTCTGTCCCTATCTCTCTGAGTGTCTCTCTGTCTGCATCTCACACACACATATGTGCCTGTGTGCACACACTTTTCTTCAGGTAAAAGAAAAACATCACTCTCTCTGTGTTCTTTATAAATCCCTCGGGTTTAATATTTTATTGCCCTAAGTCTGCCTCCCTGAGGTTCTTGTATAGACTCGTTATTCCTCTCTGTAAAGAAGCTGTTTAGTCCATCTTCGCCTGGTGTGTAAGAGCCCAAGGGAGGCAGTTCTTGCAGCCCAGTCTTCCACCCCCCGCCCCAAGAGTCTTGGCTGGAGCAGCCAGTCTGTCAATCCCAGGCGGGAGACAAGGCAGACAAAGGTTCATTTGTGAAGAAACTCCTTCCAGCACCTCCTCTCTTCTCCTTCTGCCCAAGCTCACCCAGCGAGTTGGAGCATTTTAAGAGTCCCTCTGACAAGAAGACCAGAAGGAAAGAAGAAAAGGTATGTAACTTTTTTTTCTTAAAAATCATTTAATGTCATTTATTCTATTGCTATAGATTAGAGCAGAAATGTATTTATGCAAACAGAAAGACAGACAGACAGAAAGAGACCCTCTAAAGAGATGATGTATGTACTTTGAAAAACAAATGCTTCTTAGTATAAAGGGGAAAAAATCAGGTTAAGAGAATAGATACTGGGAAAGTCACTTAATCATGAGGAAGAGGCAGCTGCCTCTCTGTTATTTCTTATGAATACACAGGTCCACTCTGAATGTGGTCCACACAATAGGACCTTATTCCACGTCTCAGACTATTTGAAGATGCTGAAGTATATCCTTTTTTTTTTTTAATGCAGTAGCTACATTTGTGTATTTTACCTACTCAATATGAACTGCAAGATCTAAGAACACAAATGTCTATTGCTTTTTAAAAAATCCTGATTCCTAAAAAGAGACGGGTATGCATGTGTGATACAAAGAGGGAATTCATTGAATTCATCTTTGGTGTTCCCATCCTGGAGCACAACAAGTTGTCTGTACTGCTAAGATAAAGGGAACCCTTATCCCTCTGGGGGCTTATAAAACTTTCCCTTTAACATTCCTCAACTTAGGTGTACAGTCTATGAAAAGCTCTCCCAGATGCTGGTCCTATTCTTCATGATGATGATCTATTGTGCGAGGAAAACATTTAGAATGATGCAAGACTGAATAGTAATATCATCTTCTAGCATTCTTTGAGCATCCCGAAGGCAGGTCACCTTCAGGGAGGATATGGACTTCATTTGTCCACCGACGAATATCTTTTGGCTATTTGGGCTGATCATGTCTGTTTTAATGATCTTTAATGAAAGGCTTTTCCTCTTTCTAATACCACTTTGATTCCTTTAACTTGCCCTTGGAGAAGTTTCACTCCAGGACTCAGCCATTCTAAGATGAACCTCTTGTATCACAGTTAATAAGAAAGAGAAAGAATTTTTCAAACAACAGTGAGTTTTGTCCTCCAAGAAAGATGATGGAAAACATGACAGGCTAGCAATTTTAATCTCCTCCAGCTATAATTTTAAATGTCAGGTTCTGGGCTGTACTTTTCATTTGCTTTAGCAGCTTTTGCTTCTCTTTTGCTGTTGTTTTGAAAGAAATCTGAAAATGGACTGCCCTTTCTGTCTAATTCATCAACTCTGTCTCATTCCACTTTTTAAAATAGCAGTTCCCAGAACTGACATCAGCTGCCTATATGAGCATTGCACCATAAATGTCTCAACACTTAAACTACAGAGTTCTGTTAGTTTTGGCCATCACGTGAGATAATTTTTCTTTCTAAGTCTCCATTTACCTTCAACCATTCAAAAGCTTGCTAGTGCCAAATACCCTTTACACAATCAAGATTTGCAATTCCCTACCTATGGTGGTGGCAATGATTTATTGCTTAGTTGGAAACATTTTGCCTTTAATTCTGTATGCTCTGCATTGATCTTTTAAATATTATGCCATTAGCCCTGGCCAGTGGTTCTCAGTGTTTAGAGTGCCAGCCTATGCACTGAAGGGTTGCAGGTTAGATTCCTGATCAAGAACATGTATCTGGATTGTAGGTTCGATCCTTGGCCCCATGCAGGAGGCAACTAATTCACTATCTCCCTCCACTTGTCCCCTTCACTGTCTAAAAAACAAAAAACAAAAACAAACTAATGGAAAAATATCGTCAGGTGAGGATTAACTATATATCTATATATCTATATCTATATCTATATCTATATCTATATATATATATATATATCAAGTGGAACAATGGCAATATCTATGACATGTATTTTCCCATTAATATCATGCCAATCTATTAAATATTGGGATATGAATGGTATCATACATAAGGAACAACATTAATTACATAAAATTTAGCCCAAAAATCCAATAGATTGAGGGTTTCTTGCTTTTTCTTCAGATATTCAGCTTTTAGCTTTGTTTTCTTTTATAATTTGGACATACTCCAGCAGGAATTTTATGTGCATGTACTTCAACTGAAAAAGAAAAAAATAGAGCAGTTTGCTTCAAACTTGCCAAAGTCATTTCATCTTGTTGGAACTTGAAAATATATGGTCTTGATGGATTGCCAAGGACTAAGGTTGGTGTCTTCTAATGAAAAAACCAAGCAGTGTAGCACAGGAACATTCAAACATTATTCCACTGGCTACATAAGAGTTAAAGCTATTTATCTGCACTTAAGTAAAAGAAGAAGAGAGATGTCAGTTCAAACATGTAATTTCTAAAGTGTTAAAAAAAAAAAAAAAAAAAAAAAAAACTACCAGTAAGTGTTTGCCAGATGTGGAACTTTCCATCTTAGTATGTGACTGAGACTGTGACAGAAACACTATTTTATGCCCTGGCATGAACACAGTCAGAAGAGGTGTGTGGTATGGCAGCATACAGACTTACTTTTCCTGCAATTTATTTTTTCACTCCAGTGAATATTTTTTGAATACTTACTATGAGCCCAGCATTGAAGCAGGCGCTCTGAGAAAAGAGGCAGAAAGAAAGAAAGAAAGAAAGAAAGAAAGAAAGAAAGAAAGAAAGAAAGAAAGAAAGAAAGAAAGAAAGAAAGAAAGGAAGGAAGGAAGGAAGGAAGGAAGGAAGAAAGAAAGAAAGAAAGAAAGAAAGAAAGAAAGAAAGAAAGAAAGAAAGAAAGAAAGAAGAGAAAAGAAAAGAAGTTACAGTCCTTGCCTTTATAATGCTGGCATCTTCTCTTCCAGTCCTCTGAGTGTTGGCTCACCTTTAGTCAGTTCTTTGCCTCTTCTCTTCTGAATCTATACTGCCAGTCCATAGCCACAAATACTATCAATAAATATCCTGGTGACTCTCAAATTTGTATTTATAGCCCTGAAATTTCAGACTGTAGTCAGCTGCCTACTCAACATCTTTACTTGGATGTGTAGTAAACATTTCAAACTTAACTTGTCCAAAAATTTAATCTTGCATTCCCCCCAAACTGATTCCATTCAATTCTTTCTCAGATCAATAAAAGTCAGTAGCATTCAGGTAAAAAAAAAAAAAAAAAAAAAAAAAAAAAAAAAAAAAATTAAGTGTTATTCTTGATTCTTTCCCTCTTGTGTCACATCTTCCATCTACTTTTGCCTCTTTTCTTCTACTTCCAATTTTGTCCCACCATAACACACCTTCAAAGAGCTAAAAAAACAAACAAAACTTTTTTAAAAGACATAAATAAGATCATATTACTATTCAATAAAAATCTTCCAATGGTTTCTCAATCTATATATATAAAAGCCTAATATGCTAAGTGTCTAACCATTTGACCATTCAACCAGTTGCTATGATGCGCACTGACCACCAGGGAGCAGATGCTCTAACTGGTAGGTTAGCTTGCTGCTGGGGTCCGGCTGCTCAGGACTAGGTGAAATGGGCCAGACACGCCCTGGAGCCCTCCCATGGTTCCTTTCCAGATCCATTGTGCACCGGTGGGGTCCCTCAGCCTGGCCTGTGACCTGTCACAATTCAGGACCCCTTGGGGGATGTTAGAGAGCCAGTTTTGGCCCGATCCCTGCAGGCTGGTATAATCAATAAAACCTAAAGGCTTTATCATGTCCTGTAAGGCCCTTTATGATCTTTCCATATCTTCCCTCCTGGTTCTAGGTAAATCCATAAAATGACCAATTCAATAAGTGTCAAATGGCTTTCTGTGAATTTTCCACTCCCAGCTGTAGCTATATACTCCATATGGTTCACTGGCTTATGAAAAATGCTGACAAATGACAAGGCATTATTTAGTCAAATTCACAGTTTTTGCAGTACAGATTATATACATATAGAGTTATGGAAATAGAGAGCAAGGGAACTGCTAGAATAATATGGGCTGTATCAGAAAGGTTTCTTAGGAAAGATGAGCTTGAGGTTTGTCCTTAATGGATGATTTGACCAGAAATTAATGTAAAAGGAAGAGGTTAGAGGGGGCAACAAGGCAAAGACACATGAAGAAGTTTCATGTCTGATGGCCTACTAACTGCACTAATGAATAAGTTGTGTGGAGAAGTGGAAGGAAGGAAGGAAGGGAGACTAGAGGATTAGGCCTAAGAAGTTCACAGTCTTTTAGATAATATGAAACTTCTGTAGGCTCTTGCTCAGGATTAAAAATATGTTTTCAGCCCTACCCAGTTTTGCTCAATGGATAGAGCATTAGACCACGGACTGAAGGATCCCAGATTTGATTTCGGTCAAGGGCATATACCTTGATTAGAGGGTCAATCCCTGGCCGGGTTGGGGTGCATACAGGAGGCAATCAATCCATGTGTCTCTCCCTCACATTGATGTTTCTTTCTCTGTGTCTCTCCCCCTCCTTTCCACTTTCTCTAAAAATCAATGGGAAAATATTCTCAGGTTAGGATTAACAACAACAACAAAAAAGTGTGTTTTCAGAGAAGCACTTCCTAATACTAGAAAAATGGGCCAAGCATTGTATTAGCCATTGGGTATGCAGTGATAAAAAATAGACTGCCCTAGTAAAGCTTTCCATACTAGAAATTTGTCAGTTGTATCACAATAAAAAGCAATTTTTCTGCCTGTTCAGTGAGGCTTAATGGTTGAGTCGACCTATGAACCAGAAGGTCACAGCTTGATTCCTGATCAGGGCACATATACGGGTTACAGGCTCAATCCCCAGTTGGGGGCATGCAGGAGGCAGTCAATCAGTGATTCTTTCTCGTCATTGATGTTTATATCTCTTTCTTTCCCTCTCCTTTCCTCTCTGAAATTAATAGAAATATTTTTAAAAGCAATTTTTCTCTACTGAATATACCAACAAAAAATTACTTTGGGTACTTAAAATGCCAATTCTGGGTTTTACCACCACCTCTTCCCCTCATCCAGCATTTTTTTTCTTTGCTATTCTTTTTTAAAATATATTTTATTGGGGTTTTTTTTTTTCCACAGAGAGGAAGGGAGAGGGACAGAGAGTCAGAAACATTGATGAGAGAGAAACATCGATCAGCCACCTCCCGCACACCTCCCACTGGGGATGTGCCCGCAACCAAGGCACATGCCCCTGTTCAGAACCAAACCCCGGACACTTCAGTCCACAGGTCGATGCTCTATCAACTGAGCCAAACTGGCTTTGGCCAGCATTTCTTAATCAGTGTTTCTTTGTGGAACTGAGGCATTTAATTTTTAACAAGTATTCTAAGTGATTTTTATTGTAGATGGTCTTTAAATACACTTTGAGAACCACAAAGAAGAGAGTAGAAAAGATCAACTCTTTCTACCCAGGAGTGTATGAGAATGCTAAGAAGTTTACAATCAGATGAATTCCATCTTTAAAAACAAACTAACACTAACACATTTTGGTTTTTCTTCCATCTCAGAACCAAAAGCCAAAATGAAATTTATAGTACTTGTCACCATTGGGCTAACTTTGCTGCTAGGAGTCCAAACCATGCCTGCAAGTCGCCTCTCCTGCTACAGAAAGATACTCAAAGACCGCAACTGTCACAGCCTTCCAGAAGGGGTAGCTGACCTGACAAAGATTGATGTAAACGTCCAGGATCATTTCTGGGATGGAAAGGGATGTGAGATGATCTGTTACTGCAACTTCAGCGAATTGCTCTGCTGCCCAAAGTAAGGAAATGTAATCACAAAATATATTGCTATGAAACTTATGGGTAACGATTCTTTTTTGACACCTTTATAATGAGTTTGCTGAAAATAATCACCTTTTTTAGTAAAATCCTGTTCAAACCTCAGCTATTAGCTAGAACCATCTCCATTGGGTATAGAACTAAATGTTTTCATTTAAGAAACAGAACTTGGTAGATTTTAATAAAACTAAATGAAATCCAGAAAATTAATAACACTCCAATCTATTAAAATCTAAATCCCCTATCAGATTTTTACCATACACACACACACACACACACACACAAAACTACCAGCAGCAGCAGTCAGCTTTAAGGTTGATATTTTAAACCAATCTGAAAACTAATAAAAGGCTTTAGATAAAAGATGTCAGCAAACAGGATCAAGTAATTAACTGGACCGAAAAGTTTGGTAATGGTCAAAAAAAAAATTTCCAGCTCTGGGTATGAGTTAACCAGAAATAAACTAAATAAGAGTTTCTTATTGGCTTGGAAAGTAGAAGAATTGGCTATTTCATACCTAAATTAGCTTTTTCAAATTTTAAGTATAATATAATAGTAGGTAAGTTAATAAATATTTCCAACTCTTGATTTTAAACCCTAGGTTTACTGAGAAATCTTTCAAATACTATGATCTTGGCTATTTCATACCTAAATTAGCTTTTTCAAATTACTTTTAACATGTCATCATATTTTCATTTTTCCAAAAAACCTGTAAGATAGAAGAGGCAGATATAATCATCTGATCAAGGAAAAGGTACAGAGAGATCAAATGACCAGCACCATCCTACGTGACTAGTTAATATCAGTACTGGCACTAGAACTCAGGTCTTCTGATTTGGACCAGATATTTTTCCCCCTACCATGCCAGTTGTGCGGTTCTCAGAACAGCAGGTTCAATAGCACCTGTGTTCTTGTTAAAAGTGCATATCCAGCCTGGCTGGTGTGGCCCAGTGGTTGAACATCAGCCTATGAACCAGGAGCTCATGGTTCAATTACCAGTCAAGGCACAAGCCCAGGTTGCAGACTAAATCCCCAGTAGGGGGCATGCAGGAGGCAGCCAATCAATGATTTTCTCTCATCATTGATTTTTCTATCCCTTTCTCCCTCTCCCTTCCTATCTAAAATAAATAAAAATGCACTTAAAAAAAGAAAAGGAAGGAAAAGAGGAACATTCATTAAAAAAAAGTGCATGAACATTCTTGGGCCTCAGATCAGACCTACTATATCAGGGACACTGGAGGTGAAGCATAGCAATTATAGCTTAAAATGCTTCCTAGGCGATTCTGAGGTATGACAATGTTTCGGAATCACTGTATTAATGATTATATCAAGGACTTGAGTTAACTGATTCCACAAAATGATTTAATTTTTCTAAGACCAAATAAATGAAATATCATCTAATATTAAAATGCCATCTTTGCTTTTTTTGTAATTGTAAGACTTGATTCCAATTTACAAAAATGTATTTGTATTTATTTCATGACATAATTTTGTGTTAATGGATAAGAATAGAAGTATAGATATACAAAAGTAATTTCTATTTAATATTGGGTTATCCTTTTCCTAGTGGCAACAAATTTACATTGCTAAGTACATATTTCCTTTTTTCCTGCCCTGTAAACACAATTTAATTTGTCATCCTATTTTTTTTTCATTTTTTTTTATTGAGATATAATTGACATACAGCACTTTTTAAGTTTAGGTATATGGCAAATGAGTCAACTAATATTTATTTAAAAATGACTACCGTAATAATTTAGTTATAATTAACATCTATTACCTCATATAGTTACCCCCCAAATTTATTTTTCCTGTAATGAAAACTTTCAGATTTACTCTCTTAGCAAATTTCAAATATACTCTACAGCAGTACTAACAATAGTTATCATGTTATACATTATATACTAAATATATTTCTAATAAACCATATTCATACTACCTTACACTTATATACAATTTTATGTTATTCCATGCATTTTTATACATTACCTTATGATCTTTCCAACAAGAGTAGAGTAGCTTAACACTTTTCCTTTCCCTGTAAAAGCTAGAAATTTATTTCTTGACTTTCTAGGAAAATTTGAATCTTCTGTGTTTTACCTGTAGATTTAAAGTTCATGTCCATCCATCCCACTCATATCAGAGGAATGAATTTTTTGGTATGATTATAAGGTTTTGAAATCACCTAGCCTTTCCTTTTTTAAGAAATGATAGCATATTACCAATAGAAAAGGAAAAGTAGAAGAATTTATTACCTTCTTGGTCTTTGTTGTTCCTGTGGCAAGTCCTCCCACTCATTCTTTTTCTACTTCATTCACCTAAAACGAATAATCATATCTGAAATCCTGCAAATCACTGTTCATTTTAACCCAGAAAACTAATATATACCATAGCTTATAGCTAGATTTAACTGATGATTTTTTTTGTTTGTTTTTTTGTTTGTTTTTTCAGAGATATCTTCTTTGGACCAAAGATCTCCTTTGTGATTCCTTGCAATAGTCACTGAAAATCTTCATGTATTCCGGAGAGCACCATCGCTAATTTCACAGAACCTGCATTTCTACTTTCTATCCATGTGCAAAGCACAGATTTTATAAATTCTCACTTGTCTAAGACAAGTAAACTTGTGTCAAACAAGTAGTAATAAAAGTTAATTCAGTTTAATGCTTCTCTGTGGACTTTGCTGGCATTGGTTAAAAATATTGGCTAGAAGCTTCATCTACGAGGTGCTTACTACATTCAATAAAAGAATCTTGTTCTGCAGATGAGCAGACATAATGCTTGCTCAAAGATTGAAATCTTCTAGTTTTTAGTTGATAGTTATTGACCATCTAATACTTAATGGAAATAACCACATATAAATTGAGATTTTTAAAAGGAAAATTGGAAGTTTTTTAGTAAGGGGGGGAAAGGAAGCCAGTACTTGAGGATATATTATGCAGGCTATCTATTTTAAGTACAATTTCATTTTATTCTCTTAAAAACAGCGACAACAAAAACCTTCAAGGTAAGCATTCTTAAACCTGTTTTTCAAATGCTGACTTAAGTTTAAGATATTTGCTAAAAATCAAAGCAAAAATTTGAACAGGTCCCTAATTCCAAAGCCCATACACTATACACACACACACAACAGCTCTATTCTTAAAAAGTATGATACATATGCCCAATGTATCAATTTTTTGTGAAAACAGCTCATATTTTAAAAAATCACAGATAATGGATAAGAATTAAAAAGTGAAATGAGTTTTAAAAGGAAATAAAACAGATTCCTTCAAAAATATTTTCCAATTGTCAGAGACAGTTTTGGACTATGTCCTCATATCTTAGGAGGTATGCATTGACCAGTGGCCATTAGTGGTGATTTCAGAAAGTTCTTTATGCAACAAAAATTGATTAAATGCTTGCTAAGGGTCAGCTATTATTAAGATTTGGGCACATAGCAATGAATAAGACGGATTGTCTCTTAGAAATTGTATAACAAAAGTATAATAATTATATACAAATTATTTATAAATGTGAAGCCTGCTACAGAGAAAAGGTATAGGATGCTATACAAAGTATTGTGGGGAATGGTTTGAGAAGCACATTACCTGTAGTAAACTTAGATATTTTATGAATAAAGCTTACATGATTTAATGGAAATAGATCCTTTGAGGTCTCTAATCTGTTTATGAAGACCACTCCCATATATTCAATATTCAATAAGTGTTACTGTGCTGGACCAAACAGTTTTGAGGTAGTCAGAATTCAACTACTCTTAAAATTCACACAAATATAAGTTACAACCTGATTTCAAATAGTGTTGCCTCTTACAAAAACGCATGAAGTGGAATTGTCTTTAAAAATCAAATTTCTTATCAGTATAACATGATTTGATTCAGGTTTCTTCCTTCACTGAAGTGAGTGGTATTATAACAGGACTAACTCAATAATGAATGTCATATATCCTCTCTGGAACAGTGCATAGAATAGGTAAATAAAGAAAATCAGCAGTAAGCCAGTTTAATTTTCTACTTGGTATGAACTCCCTTTAAGGGAGTGTGGCTCTTTCACAAAATACCACCGCCTGGGTGAGTCTATTTTGAAGAAGTGGCAATAGAAGAAGTTTAAGTTTAAAACATTTTATTCTCAAAAGAAATTTCAATCATTGTACTGTTGATATTTAGCTCTGTTGACTAATGAGTTTGCCGACCACTGACTTAGACCTAACAGACATACACAGAGCACTTCACCCAACCAAAGCAAAGTACACATTCTTCTCAAGTGTACATAGAGCATTCTTCTGGATTAGAAATAAAAACAATACTCGCCGAAACTGGTTTGGCTTAGTGGATAGAGCATCGGCCTGCAGACTGAAAGGTCCCAGGTTCGATTCCGGTCAAGGGCATGTACCTTGGTTGTGGGCACATCCCCAGTAAGGGGTGTGCAAGAGGCAGCTGATTGATGATTCTCTTACATCTATGTTTCTAACTCTATCCCTTTCCCTTCCTCTCTGTAAAAAAATCAATAAAAAACATATTAAAAAACAAACAACAACAACAAAAAAAAAAACAATTCTCCCTAAATTTAGAAAAATTGAAATCATACAAACTATTTTCTCTAACCATGGTGAAATGAAGCTAGACCTCAATAACAGAATAAACATAGGAATACCTGCAAATATATAGAAATTAAATAGTGCATCCTTAACAACTAATGAGTCAAAGAAGAAATCACGAGAGAAATCAGAAAATGCTTTGAGATGACTGAAAACAAAAACAAAATGTACCAAAACTTTTGGTACATTTTGGATGAAGTGAAAGTATTCAGAAGGAAATTCATATTTATATTCCATTTCAATGTAAACATCTACATTAAAATAGAAGATCTTAAATCAGCAACCTAACTTTACAGCTTAAGGACCTAGGAAAGATTTAATCCAAAGCCATTAGAGCAGTGGTTCTCAACCTTTCTAATGTCGTGACCCTTTAATATAGTTCCTCATGTTGTAGTGACCCCCAACAAAAATAAAATTATTTTCGTTACTACTTCATAACTGTACTTTTGCTAGTTATGAATTGTAATGTAAATATCTGTATTTTCTGATGCTCCTAGGTGACCCTGCTAGTGGTACACAACCTGTGGGTCTTGACAGATTGCTGCCAGTGTAACACTAAAATTTCTAGTGAATTCACAATTTCTAAACCCAACAGCAAAGAATTTTAAATTTTAGATAAAATTGATGTTTATGTTGCAGTTTCTTGAGTTCCTCAGCTTTGATGAGGTTATTAAGTTCACAATTTTTATGTTTTAAACTAGAAGCTCGGTGTACTAAATTCATGCATGGGGGTAAGAGGAGGAGTTTTTCAGCCCAGCCTACATCCACTTGCAATCCAGGACCCCTCAGGGGATGTCAGGCCTAAACTGGCTGAGATTCCTCTTGCAATCCAGGATGCAGCATGCACCAGTGACCATACTTTTTATACAGGTGAAAGGCATCTTGCTGTTGTAAGGGCAGCTACATTTTTTTTTGCCCTGATTATAAAAAGTAGTACATAACATGATTCTTCTGAGGAATTAGTACCATTTTTCCCATCTTATAGGTGGAAAAACTGAGGCAGAGGTAAGCTAAGTAATTGGCTTTGTCACACCATTATAAGTGTCAGAATCAGGACTGACCACAAAATGTGCAAGCCAGAGTCAATGCATGTCATCGCTGCATTGACTTGTTTTTTCAGTGTTAGAGTAGCCTAGCCAGATTTTAATTTTTAAATCTAAGAGACTGTCCCCAATATATAGGGTAGGGTCTTTAGGCCTGGCCAGCGATCAGGGCCACCTGTGGAGTGACTAGTGGGCAGGGTGATTGGGGGCCCCCCACTGGTACCTCCCTTGACTGGCAGCCTGATGCTGCCCGGCTAGCTGGCCCTGCCCCCACACTGCAGCTACCCTGGTGGTCACTGCCCATCATAGCAACCAGTCGTTCTGCCATTTGGTTCATTTGCATATTAGGGTTTTATTGTATAGGATTATTTTAACAAGAACTTAATTTTTGGGTGTAATCAATGCTCAGAACTCTTATTAACGCTTTATCCAATTACATTTTACTTAAATAATTAGCTATATGAAAAGAACATTGCTAGTCCAAGGTTATATTCATAGACACTTCAATGTCAGTAAACTTTTTTCACAAGAATGTTGTGTGTTTTATAGGAAAAAGTAAATCAACAGTCAAGTTTTTATTAAAAAATTAAGTCTTCCCCTGGCTGGTGTCGCTCAGTTGGGTTTGGCATCATCCCATGTACCAAAAGACTGCCAGTTTGATTTCCAATTCAAGGTACATACCCAGGTTGCTGGCTTGATCCCCAGAAGGGGGTGTGCAGGAGGCAGTTGATTGGTGCTATGCTCTCTCATCAATGTTTCTCTCTCCCCCTTCCTAAAATAAAATATTTTTAAATTAAATCTTTGCAGGTTAAGGTAAAAGTACTTTAAATAAGAAACCTCCCTTATTCTTAGAATTTAAACCTCCCTGACATATCTTATGTTTCAACCAATCAGAAGCTAGTTTATCTACACATACTAACCTTTCCTCCTTTCCTTTAAAAAAAAAAAGTTTAATGATAAGATCTATCCTGAAAGAAATAAATTCAGTATTAACTCATGTCTAAATCACTGGGGTTAAAACTTCCAGCCACTCAGATCAGTTAGATTCAGACACAGTGGAGGACCAGCTGGGGGGTGGCCTAGAGCGGAGCAGCTCCAGGCATTTCCAGGGCTTAGGAACAGACGGAGCCGGGGCTTGGTGTCTCTTGAAAGATGGCCCTACCCTGGTCTCTACTGTGTAATGTCCCCTGGGGTCCAGTGACCTCTACCTATAGCTGTAGACAAAGTCTGCACAGTTCCTGTAGGTGAGTCTAAAGTCTTAATCTATGCATTCAGAGAAATATTTTTATCTGCTTTGTGTAATTTATAAGGATTTTTTTTTTAAGCTCTGTTAACTCTGAATTCACCCCTCCTCCTCCACTGCATATTTAAAGCATATGTTCATACTATGGGCAAACATCCTCTGAAGATAATTTTCTTTGTGCATTGCTGACTGTTCAAGTATAACAAGAATTATTAAAATTAAATTTTAACTGAAACAAATTTGGAAGTAATACTTTATCTAAATAAACCAACATATCTTGTTGCTATGCGGTTCATTTTCATATGGCTAAGAAAAAAGTTCTCACACACATTTCTGGAATGTGAGATAGTGTCCCCAAAAAACGTACACACTTAAAACTGATAGCTCAAATTCTTTCTTTTCAGATTTAACCCATTGGAATTAATAATCATTTAAAGTGTATATACATTTTTTGGGTTATCCTGTATGAGAGCATTTGATAATACTATTGTAATTATCACAGCCTCTGCTCATCAATGAAAAAACAAGTAAATTCTTAGTGATAGCAAATAGACCAACTGCTTTGTTGCTCACTGTTTTCTAGCCGTTAATACACTGAGAACACTAAAAATATAGACTCACCTTCTAATGAACCAGTACTTTAAATTTAGCTACATCAGGGGTTCTTAACCACGCTGACTTTGCCCCTTAAGGAATGTTTGGCAATGTTGACAGATATTTTTGGTTGTGACGTCTTCCAAGTGCTACGGGCACTAGTGTGTGGACTCCAGTAATGCTG